ATTAATAAAAATGTTGAAGCGCACTGGGCCCAGGACTGAACCCTGCAGCACCCCACTTGTTATGTGTCCCCCTTGAGAAGATGGAGGGAAGATATGATGTCACTCTTAAAGTTCTTGAAAGTTCTCCTTGTTCCCTCTGAGACTAGCTGCAGTCCTCATGGGTGCTGATTCTTTCCCACAACAATATAATGCAATGAGCTATCCCTGTTGTGATGAAAAGTATTTGGGGGTGACCTGGTCTTGAATGGGTAGCTTAAAGTGCAACCCAGGTGAGAATTTTGGAATCTACTTTCCAAGACTTTGTGGCCTGAGTGCATGAACACACCTGCCTGAAGAGAAAGCATCACAAGAGGGTTTCTGCTCATGCAGAAAGATGCCCTTCCTCTTCTTCACTGCCCCTGCACCATAGGTGCCTCATCTACACATGTACCTGGGATAAGACCTACGGAACTCAGTAGGTTGTATATCTGAGCAGACATGCAGATGGTTTGTTTCTGCTTCCTGCAGTGCCATCAATATTTAATTTCCATTCAAATTAGGCCTGCCGTATGCCATTGACTTTTTCCTCCCTGTTTTAAATTGCCTTTATTAAAATGCCTTAATTAAAAAAGTATTTGATGCTCACATATGGTATAGTTTTTTAGAATTACACAAATAATATGAATGGTTGTGCATAGAAGTTCAGCTACTCTAATATTCTCATAGAATTGTAAAGCTGCAAATGTTAATCGAAACTATAAATGCATGCACATTCTTTTGGCTACCAAGGATGATTTGAATATTCTTATGTAGGTGGATACTCAGATCCATCATTACTCTGCTACGTTAACTTACAAAATAATAGGAAATCAGTATGTAACTAGTGAGGCTGTGGCTTCCCATGACGATTAGCGGAGAAAGGTTAGTAAATTTATATTGTGACAAGTGCTATATAATGTCCTTTTTATGCACTTAGGGAGGAAAAATTAGCTGCTATAAAAGAATCAAAACATGGATTACCTTTGGATCCTGAGTTGTCCTTCCATTTGTGGGAGGACTCCCTCAGCTCACAAAGGGAATCTGTTCCCACAGGTGCTCCTAATGATCGAAGGCAATTTTTGTGGATTCCCACTGCAACCCTCCATGCCAACTTCTGGGCTGCCCATCACTCCTTGCCTTCCTTCTGCACGTGGTAATATTCCACATGTAGAGTTTCTTTCACCAGAAGTTAGGACCCAAGCCTAGTGCTTTGCATCTTCAGTCCCAGTGAAATCTATCCTTATTTAATGAGCCTGTGGTGATATAGGAAATAATGGGAAGTTTGCATAACATCAAAGGAGGAAGGTAAATAGAGATACAGGAAAGACCATGTCTTGTCTCAGAACTATAGCAGGGATGAGGTTAAATGGAATTCAGGTGCTTGCTGCCTTACAGCAGGGCCGACATCAAGGACAGGTGTGGTTGGGCACCTCAGAAGGAGCCCACTGGCAAGAACTCCCTGGAATCGCCCCTCCACGGCACCACGGGAGCCTGCTTGCTCACCCAGTTTGCACGCTGGACCACACAACGGTAGTGGGGACAAGGGAGGGCAGTAGGTGCCACTGACTGCTGGCTCGCTGCCTCTTTGTCTGTTAGGAAAGGGGGCAGTAGCAGTGATGAGAAAGAGGATGAGGGACGAGGGCATCTGGTAGCAGTGGCAGTGAAAAAGTCTGCCTTTCAGGGTCCAGGGCATGGGCAGCAGGATGGAGGCACGGCGACCACCTGAGCCAGGACGAAGTTTCAACACAGTCTGAAGTCCAATAGTAAAGTCTGAGGCTGACTGTGGTCAAGTAGCGGGACTAAGCCAGCAACCAGGAATATGTATTCCAACAGAGCAAGAGCTCGGTCGTGAGCAAGCCAGAGTCAGGAACAAGCAAGACAACAAAGCAAAGAGCAAGCACCTTGAGGCAGGAGAACCAGGTAGGATTCAAGAGCAGTGAAGGTGTGACGAACAAGGTAAGGCAGCAAGGCGAGGCACAGTACAGCAAGGCACAACAAGGGTCTGGTGTGATAGAGGAGCCGGAATGTGCTGCGGCTATCAGGAAAACCTGTGCTGATGGGCAGCCAGAGGAGGGAAGAGCTTGCTTGTCTGTAGCTGTTCCCCCGTTCTCCCAGCTGATGCTCCTCAGGAGGCTGAGAGCTCCAGCAGGGCCCGGGACCAACCCCAAACATTCTGTAGTGGTAGTTCCAGTTCTGGCCACCAGCTGGAACTTGGAGCAGCCCGCATCCTAACACAGTTCACTGAGGCAGGGGGTCCACTGAGGTCGTCTTGTCCAAGGACCTTCCAGTACCAGGAGCTGGTATTGCCTTACAGTGTTGCTTTTCTAACATGACGCCATCCAGTAAATCTCTGTAGCAAATGGAGGGCCATCCACTGGAAGATTACATCAGCATCACTGCCGCTGCCACCACATGTTCCTCTTTTAATGGATACCTGCTTTTTACTCCTTGCCTCCTTTATAATATTCAGTGACCCACTGCAATGGTGTAAGAATGAAATGTGCATGTGATGCTTATCACACGGCAATTACAGCCTTTCACATATTTTCTCAAATGAGTGAATGGTTTTCTTTACTGGGATCACCTTCTATTGTATGGCATAGTACAGCTATCTGGAAAGTTCATGTTTCACTTTCTGAGTCTATATAAGTGCTCAGTCGGTTGCCTCTTATGAGCTGCATTCTTCCAATCAGTCTCCCGAAATGCAGTAAATCATAAGTGTTCGGTCCCTCTCCTCTAGCTGTCCATCCAAATGGGTATGCGGCACTTCAGTCTGCTAGTCCCAAAAGGGTCTGCAGTAAATTGAACTGTGACACAAGTAATGCTGTGAGCACAGAATGAGGTGCAGATAATCCCATACATTCTTTATTGCAAATCATTCAGCCAAGGATATATCCCATAAACAATTGTACCCTGTTGTTCTTTCTTAAGAGTCTGATCTTTGAGCTCCTCCTGCTTTTTTATTTCCATTTATCCCTTTTATCTGCATGAGTTTTTGTCTTAACATTGAATAACTCAACCTTGAGAAGCTGATTTGCATTCAACAGAAAGAGAAAAGGGAAAACATATATGTGGGTTTTTCTCTCCAATGAGGAAAAAAAGAGAGAGATTAAAATTAATAGAATTAATTTATCAGAGTCACAAATCATAGCAGGGTATTACTTTTGGACTACAATGTCAGGATAAGATTAATCGTAGCTCAGTCTTTTGCTTTATTCTATGAGTCATTCACAGTCTCTCAGTACGCTCATAAACAGAGTCAATATGACCTTGAAAACAGGTGGTAACCAGCATTCAAGGACCAGTAAAGTAGGAATTCTCTAATTTTGCATTAATAGCGTGATAAATGAAAACTTTCAAGACTTTTCATTCATCTCTTGCAGGGTGGTCAGCCCTTTTCTGTCAGTTTTTCAGGTGCCATATGGCAGTGAATGGAACTAGAATTACTCCAGATGTGCTTTCTGTCAGGTTCAAACTGCCCCCTTTTCCCAGGCATTTGTTGGCATTTAATGGTATAGGATGGGCCATGTTTGTTGATTTAATTTGGTCTTGTTTTACTGAAAATGTTTTACTGAAAATGTTTATTTGAATTTTAAGTTGTTTTAAATTTTTGTGTTGGAATTTTATACTGTTTTTTATTTGTACTTTCATTGTATCTGTTGGATTTTGATTTATTGCTGTGAACCAGCCAGATAGCTTTGGCTTATTGGGGAGTATAGAAATGAAACAAGCAAACAAAATCATCACCATCTCACTGAGAGAAAAAGAGATAGTAGTACTGATCTTAAATTAAGCTTCCAATCATTCTCTTTCTCACCTTGCCATCTATCCATGTACTGGAATTTTAAAAATGCCCTTTTATCCATGCATGCATGCATCCTATTCTCTCTTTCTTCCTCTTGCTTCTCTCTCTGGTTTCCTTCCCCTAGGTAAGTGCTTGGCCATCTGATCTGTGTACTTGCTTTGAAAATGGTCGCCCTCTTGTGATTTTGCTCATGCATTGCCTCAGTCCAGAGCATTGGGTGGGACCACACTGAACAGGCATGTGCCCAAGGATGGGTGCACCAAGCAGCCACGGCTCCAGTGCCCACACGTACACCATGAATGCTGCAGAGGCAGAACTGACCCAGGCTTGCACGCCTCTTGAAATCTCCTTCATGCAGGACTTGAGGTTGCACGGAAAGTTTTGTGCAGCTGTTTGCATGGAGGCCCCAACCCTACGGCCATCCACACAGCAGATGCTCGGGGGCACAGGTGTTCCGGCTAAGAAGTGTTGGAGCACAGCCATCTTGTACGGCCCTTCTTGTGCATTGAGAGTAGGCTTGAATAAAACACCCAAATAAGGCCAATGTATTCATTCATTCATTCATTCATTCATTTGCCTTTTTAAACCATCCTGTAGTCAAAGCTTTCTGAGTGGCACATAACTACACAACCAATGTTCTACCAAACTCGATTCCTTTTCTTATTCCCCCATTCCTGTGCCCCTGTTCCTTTCTGTGCTCAGAACTGCGCTTACCTCTGCTGACAGGTCCTGTCCTCCAGTTCTCCTCTTCAAGAGCTATTTTGTAAAACACGGCATTTCCCAAAGCTTCGCCAGCTTTGCTTTTAACAGCAGCAGCAGCAGCTCACAATCAGCTCAAGTCAAGGAGTTTTCTCTCCAGTGAGAAAAGAGCATTGGAGAGCCTCCCAGCAAAAATATTGGAAGTGCGACACACTTTTCTGGCTGATGAGAAGTTCCAGGGTGCTGCACCACCAGGGCTTGCCATGGCACAGTATTTATGGCAGCCTTCCCCACCCTGGTGCTCTCCAGACATTTTGGGCTACAACTTCTAGCTTTCCTGACCATTGGTCATGCTGGCTGGAGCCGACATGTCTGAGCCATATCTGGGGACACCAGATTGGGGAAGACCGGGGTAAGGTGGAAGATGGAAAAAAACCAAGATAACTAGCTTTGCTCTTTTGTTTCTCTGTGGTTTCAGTGAATATACAAGCAGAGCAGATGCAGAAACATTTAGCATACATGATGTCACAGGGTAAGTTGCCTCATAGTTCAGTTGCCCAGAGAGAGGCAGCCCAAAATCCTCCTGGCAACAGCTCTGTGCTCTTGCTGCCCGCCCTCTCTCCCCACCCCATGTCCCTCTGGATCCAAGGCCTCTCCTAGCAACTGGCTTCCATTAAGAGACATTTCCTGACCAGCCTGAACCATTAGTTGGTAATCTGCTTTACAAAAGTAAATGGCCAGCTTTTATTCATGCAGAATCTTAACTATGCACACACTTTGCATTCTTTGGTTTATGATAAAGTAAATTGTATTTTTAAAAAAAGAGAGAACAAAAGTGCCTTCTGTTAATTCTCCTTTAAGTAATAAAAGTGATACCCCCTCCCCGTCATTCCAATCATACATAAATGGAAATGACAGATTGTAAAGGGCGTTTAGGAATAATAGGAATCTGAGTCCAAAACAAGATCTAACACCATTCCTGACAAGATGCACTCATTCCATTAGTTTTCTGTGAGCTCAACTGTTCTTATTAGTTATTTTTTTATGTCTGGCATGTGCAAACACACACGCACTATGCATAAGCAATAGATTATGTTGCTTAGACTATATGATCAGGAAGAGCCACTTTCAAAGCTAGAATTTATCCTAGTCCTATCACAAACTGGAACTTTCTGTACAAGTTCAATCAAAAGATGAACTTGGTCACCTTCCATTTACCAAGAGGATCCATGTAATCAAGAATAAGCGCAAATGACATTGTGAATTTAGCTCCCTGGCACTTTGCTCTTCATACAAGCCTGTAGGGCATTTTTCTTCCTATAAGCACTTTGATGTTGCAGGAAACCCGAGGAAGCATGTTGTACCCACAAGAAGGAGCACGGAGGTTACTACAGGACGATCCTACTTTGATAGTGCTGTGATGCCTGCATCCATTTTAGTAGTAGATCACATGCCCCTGAATCTCTCTCCTAGCACTGGCTCATTGCTATGCTGCTGCATGGATTTCCATGCCATAAAACAGCATAAGCTGCACCCCTTTGTTTCAGGACCACGTAGCTAGACGCTGCCTGCACTGTAACTCCTAGAAGGCCCAGCAAACATGGCCAGTGGTCTGGGATCATGGGAGCTGTAGTTGAAAGCATCTGGTGCACTACTGGTTGCGCCATTCATAGTAGCTTCTTTTTCGGACTGAAAGGTTGCTGAGGTATGTTAATAATAAGCAAAGAAAAGAGGACATTTCTAGAAGGAAGAATTCAAACATAATAGTCACTAATTGCACAGTCCTTTTATTAGGTGCCACTTAAAAGTCCAGGATGAAGGGGAATAATGGGGGAGAAAGGAGTGGGAGGAAAAAAAGGACGTTGATGAGTTTTATGAACAAAGTATGGTCTGCAGTTAAGATTCGTCTTAAAGTAGAACTGCGGTTGTATTACACAGACTTGAAAAAAATCTTCAGTTGCATCAAAAGGGACAAAGCAAGTAAGAGGCGTCTCTCTCTTAGCCAGTTTAAGCACCACCTGTTCTTTACACAGAATTGTCCCTGTTGTTTTCACTGGGACCTCATATGTAAATATGCTGAGGATTGTATGATAGGGGTATCTAGATCTACTAGGGGCTGGTCTTAGGCCAGCAATCTTTCAAGGTGGTGCAAAGTTTATTTCTCAACCTTCCTGCAGGCCTCAAATATGCAATGGACTTTGGAGGTTCTGTGTTTTGTGGCATCTCCCTTGCCTATGTTTACTTGGAAAGCTCTCTCAGCTACTCTGTGGATGTATACATTTTTATCCTCGTCTTCTTCCAAGGAACAGTGCACACATCTCTAGGGACAAACAAGAATTTTGTTTCTGGTCACAGTGCATGCATGAACAATCATGCACACGACTCTGAGAAAGCGTCTACAAAAATATTAGCAAAGTACTCAATATATGCTCATGTTCTACTTGTGCAACTTTCCCCATTGGAGTTCCCCAGTTTTCCAGATTTGTGCAGATTTCTAAATCAGCCCCACAATTTTGGAAATCTGCACAAACACAGGATATTTTTGGCAGAACTTTCACACTGGTTCATTCCTAGTTGTCCATTTCACACAAAAAGCCACAACCACGAACATGAGTGTAAATCAAGTGCAAGACAAGTGGCAAACTGATGTCCAGAAAATCCATATGAGTTTGAACATCTCTTGGTTGCCTGGGCCTACCTCAGCCCCATTTTATCTTCACAGCAACACTGCAGTATGGGAAAGGGGGATGGAGCTTTATGGCCGAACAGTCATTTGAACCTTAGCACCCCCAATTTAATTGCACTAAATCACACTGTTGATTGTAATCGGACAAGCTTTTAAGTGACTATATGATCTGAAATGTCATGAACTGAAGTGACACTGAGCAGCTTTAGATTAAATGTGTTTGTCTTTCTTCTTTTAAAGGGAGGCCCAATCCAGAATAGGAAGTCCAAACGTTGCTTGGAGTTGCAGGAAAACAATGAGAATGAATTTGGATTTCAGCTAGTTCTGCAGAAATGTTCCGGCCAGCGTTGGTCTATCACAAACCTCCTGAAAAGTTTGCCACCGTAGACTTTCAGGGCAGGGGGGAAACATCTCTTCAACCTTCTTGCTACTGTGTAGCAAAAGTTTGCAATGTTGCCTGCTGTACTATATTTTCTCCTTCCTCTTTTAATCCTTTTGTGTGAGTGTGTGGATGTCAGATTTGTGGGCTGAGAACAGAGATTTTTATTTCATAATGAAACTTTCATGGCATTTATAGAGAGATACTGAATGACGGGTGACGGAAGCATATCTTAAAATATTTTGCCACTGTAAATAGGGAACAAATGGAGAATATTTATAACACAGACAATAAAGTTTTATTGGTTAAAAAAACACAGCTTAATGCACTTTGTGACTGAGTTTGTTGTACAGCAGATTCAAAACAATCCTTATACTTTTTGGCTATTTAATTCTGCTTTTTCTCAGGCAGCCCTCTGGGACTGTAGACACCACTGTTGCTCTTTTCTGTATTCACTATATCTGTGTTTCTTCATTTGCTGATACCATTCACACATATACAGCACCATCCTCAAAGGGCAAGGAACTCTTAAGCCCTTGCAAAGACACAGGCAAATTCTCTGAATCAATTATAATACACTTATCTCAAGAGTGGGAGAGAGAGATCCCATGGCCAAAAGCCGCATGTCATTTGCTTCTCTTTTATTTTTATGTAACTAAGGTAGACCCCGGGTTACAAACAAGTCCCACTCCTGCGAAAATGAGCATTCATCTTGAAGTCAAATCTGTATGTAAGACGGATCGTGTATAGCCAGCCCTCCACATTTGCAGGGTTTAGGGGTGCAGGACCCCCAGGAAAGTGGAAAACTATGAATATCTCTACCCCCTAGCACCTCCTCTGCTGCAAGGAAATGCCAAAGAGATTTCCTGCTCCAGATGGACAGGGCAGGAAGGCATGCTTTGGATGCATGCTCCTTCTCTCCCTTTTCACTTCCTCTCTCTGTGGTGATCCTTTGGATGCCCTCCCTCTTTCCCCTTTCACTTCCTCTGTCTCTATGGTGACAATGATGTTCTGTAGTAATTTTTAATGGCAGTTCATTTATATGTATGGGTTGTTCGTAACTCGAATGTTTGTAACTCAGGGATTGCCTGTAGCACCTAAGGGACTCACTTCATCAAAGGGGCCATAGTCATGTGAATGGGAAGGCTTGGTTCCTACTACAACAGAAATATAACACATGAGATGGAAAGATTATATATGTCTCTTTTGAAGGCAACAAGCAGAGGCCCAAAGTTATGGAGATATATTTTTAAAAATAAAGGGATGAAACTGTTACTAAGATACAGTGTAATCTTATACATGCTATCCAGACATGTCCCTTTGAGTTTAATGTGGTTTACTCCCAGGTAAGGGTTGCAGCCTTATCTGACAGCTTTACTTAAGTACAGCTTAACTAAGCTTTTCCCTCTTTGTAACTGTTAAATTAGCTCCCAAATACAGATTTCAATCACAAGTTTTATTAAAATTGAAAATTGAATACATGAGGCTTCAGCTCTTCTGGGATGCTTGAAAAAATAGGTTGTTCTCAATGAGAAAGAGTACATCACCACTGAGGAGAGCCATTAGCATTAACGATGCAGGTTGGTTTTTTTAAAAATATCTGTGACTATGGCTTATATGTAGGCCTAGCAAATGCAGTATTGACTGGAGATTTATGATTCTGTAATTCAGTTTCAAACTCAACTGTGAGTCAAACGCTACATTTCAAGCTAAATGGCCACCTATGTTCTGACTTTCCCCCCCTACTTAGGGGAGGAACAAGATGTGAAATTATTAAGTATGAAGGCAAAGTGAACCAGCATCCATTCCCTAATACCTTTAAAGCAGTATTTTCAAAATCAAAAAATGCGTTAGGAGTCTTTTTGAGGACATATCCTGAAAATGCAAAAGAGGAGGGGAAAGTTAGCCATTGTGTTTCTCTCCGGTTTTCCTATACAATCTGAAATGTGGGCTCAGCTAGGGATTATGCCATTGGCTGTATCTGATACTACCAGCATAAAAATGTTTAAATAAATAAATAATCCAATGCAGCCACCCTTAACTGAGATGACCACAGGCCCGTGGAGGACAAAAGCTGCCCAGAGGCCAGCATTACCGCTCTGCTTCCTTCTCCCTCTGATTTCAGCCACCTAAATATTTCCGCCCAGATGAGGAGGAGGAGAGGCTGAGGCATCACAGCATGGCAGTCCCAGTGCTGCCCCCAAAATTGGTCTTGGCCATTGCAGCCAGTGCAGCAGAGGTCCGACACAGTCCTTTTCTGTACTCATAGTCGGAACTCCTGTTTTTCCTACAGCCACCTAGATGGCATCTAGCAGCCACTGGAGTGTGCCTTAAGGCAGATGAAACTTGCTTTTGCTTTGCATACACAGGGGAAAAGGCAGATATACAGCTGTAGCGCGAGATACGTTTTGTCCAAGGCAAAGGAGCAAATTAAAATAAAATGGCATTTGAGCCCACTGAGATGCGAATGACTTGGGATCAGAAGCTCGTTCATTAGCCCTGCCTGTGAAGTCGTCCCAGGAGCTTTTCCACTTGCGCCCAGAGACTGCCCTTCACTGTTACTTAAAAAGAGTGAGAGAGATAAATGGCTTCCATTTAATTGGGTCTTAAAGAAAGGTCTCCAGCAAAAGCATGAACTTTACTTCACCTTTTCATTTCTCCAAGAGGTGTGACTTATTCTTCATATTCATCTACCTCATTTAGGCCTAAAAAGTGGCTGGGAGATGGGACAGAAAGTTGCTTGAACAGGAGCAAGCACCCTGCACAGGCGGGTCTCTGTTTCTCTGTTGTTTGATGGCATGAAAATGAACCTGATTTTCTATATTACTGCACACATTCATTTTGTGATCCATTCATTTCAGAAAATTTATGTATTGCTTTAGTTTTAAAAACCCAAAAGGGTTCACCAAGTAACAAAATTTTGAAAAACGATCCTTGAAACTACAACATTAAAAATAGAGGATGCAGTGCATCAATTAAGAAGCAATGCTAACAGTCCAAAAACTCCTGCAGAAACAGGTATGTCTCTAGTTATTGGTGGAAACAGTCCATGTTAGGCCACTGTTCTTCTCCACACCACGACCAAGTGACTATCAGTCGGCCATGGAACAGTATCCAAAGCCTGCTTCTCACAATATAACATCTGGAAAAGCCTGAACGGGATACAGTGGCCTTTAGAGAACCAGCCCCTGAGCTGTTGGGGTGGTGGGAGCGTTTCCTTCAAGCAGGAACTCTTCTCATGAGGTGAGAGGAAGTCCTTGCCTCAGGCGGCAGGATGTGCTGAGCAGTCACTTGTGTGCTCCCGCCACCTTCCACGAGTCCCCCTTTCCACAGCATTTTAGTTGATTTTTTGTGTGAATTTCACAAAAACGAAGCCCTAAAAAGCATTTGCCCCAGAAAC